GCTTCTGCCTGCCAAGTGTTGGGATTAAAGGCGTGCACCACCACCACCCAGCAGGAAAATATTTTTAATTAAAAATTTAAAAAGAAAATAATTTAAAAAGAAATAAAATTCTAATCCAAGATAGTGAACTGAGCTCTCAGCATTTGGAGCAGAAATTTAAGAACACCATCGTATGCATCCTGAGCTTGAGGCCAGCATGGGCTATGTGAGACCTTGTCTCAGAAAGACAAAAACTAAAACAAATCAAAATTAAGTTCTTTACGAACGGTAACATTCACCGAGCACTTACTCTTCCCCACAAGGCCTAGGACTCTGAGCAAGTTAACTCTAATCAGAATCCCGTGAGATCTGTAGTGGTAGCCTAGTTTTTATAGAAAACTACATAGAACCTTGGAAGCCTGAGGCAGGAGGATGCTTGAAAATTAAAAGTGATGAGAATGTCTTTACAAAGCCCATTATTGTAGATAATTAATATATGCTAATTAAAAATCCAAAAATATACTAAAACATTGCTTAGCATTCTTTTTTTAATAGATTTTATTTATTTATTATATATACAACATTCTGCTTCCATGGATATCTGCACACTAGAAGAGGGCACCAGATCTCATAACGGATGGTTGTGAGCCGCCATGCGGTTGCTGGGAATTGAACTCAGGACCTCTGGAAGAGCAGCCAGTGCTCTTAACCTCTGAGACATCTCTCCAACCCCATTGCTTAGCATTCTGTCACTATTCCAGAGAGCATTCCCCGACAGACATTCCTAGACTTTCATATAGGATGTGCTTCTCACCTCACAAGTGATTTTTTGTGGAGCCAGAGTAGATATGAATAAGATGTTTCAAAGTCAAAGTTAAATACTTGTTGAGGTGCTAGCGAGTTGTCTCAGCTGTAAATAGCACTTGAAGCTGTTGCAGAAGACCTACCTGAATTCAGTTCCCACATGAAGGCTCACAATTGTGTATAATTCCAGTTCTGGGGGATCCAACTCCATCTTTGGCCTCCATCGGCACCAGGCACACACATGGTACACACACAAACATTCAGGCAGACACCCATACATATAAAATAAAGAGAAATTAGTCTTGTTTATTAAAGCTTATACTGGGAGCTCTCAATAATAATACTAACATTTCTAGTTACTTCTTACGGACTTGAGGATACTTTAAATACTTATTATTTACTATTTAAGCTTCACAAGAAACCTATAAGATGGTTGCTATTACTATTCTGTATCACCCTCAGTTTACAAATGAGCAAATCATAGTAGAAAGAAGTGAAATAACAAGGCTGGGCGGTGGTGGCACATGCCTTTAATCCCAGCACTTGAGGCAGAGGCAGGAGGATCTCTGTGAGTTCAAGACCAGCCTGGTCTCGTCTCCAGATCGAGTGCCAGGATAGGCTACAAAGCTACACAGAGAAACCCTGTCTCAAAAAACAACAACCAAACAAAACAAAACAACCCCCCAACCCCCCCAAAACAAAAACAAAGTGAAATAACATGCTGAAGGACATTAGGCAGAAGCTGGTTTCTTTCTTTTCTTCTTTTTCCCTTACCTTTTTATTGTCATGGGATCTTTCTATGTAGGCTTGGCTGGCCAGGAGCTTCCTAGGTATACCAGGCTGGCCTCAAACTCTCAGAAATTTGCCTGGCTCTGCCTCCTGGGATTAAAGGTGTGCACTACCGTGCCAGGCAAAAGTCAGATTTCTAAATTTGCTTTGGAGGGCAGGAATGTGACTTAGTCTTTAATTATTCTGCACTCCTGACAATGACTGTTCTAGCAGCCATTACTATAATTCCACACATTTTAAAATGAGTAAAATACTGGCCCTTGCCGTTAAGGAGTTCCTAGTTGAGTAGAAGTAATGGAGAAGTAAACAATTAACCTAGCACAAGGCAAAATGTATTACACATTGAAGAAACATATACAGGATATACTCAATTTTAACACACAAAGATAGCTGGTATGGTGGGTGGATTTTGTTTGTTTTGGTTTTTAAGATTTATTTATTTTATATATACTTTCTCTACCTGCATGTTCGTCTGTGTACCATGTACATGTCTGGGACCTTGGAAGCCAGGAAAGGGCATCGGATCCTCTAGGATGGGAGTTACAGTTGGTTGTGAACCACCATGTGGGTGTTAAGAATTGAACTCCTGTCCTCTAGAAAAACAGCCAATATTCTTGACTGCTGAGCCATCTCTCCAGTCCTGGGATTACATTTAATTACAGTAATTGATGTGGGAGGACCCTCCATTGAGGGTCCACTATTCCCTGGGCTTGGGGTCCTGGGCTGTATAAAAAAGAGAAAGTGAGCTAAATACAAGTATGCATGTATCCATTCTCCTCCTCCTCTGTGCTGTGGACATGACTAGCCACTTAAAGTTCCTGCTGCCGTGGCTTCCTTACTCTGTTGGATTGTAACCTGGAATTAATTGTAAGCTAAAGTAAAATCCCCAAATTTTATCACAGCAACAGAAAGAGAAACTAAGACAACCATCTTAAAAAAAAAAAAAAAGACAACTGTCCTACCTACTGTAGGATGAATATTAATAGTCAGAGTATCTGGCATTCACCAAACATGTAATGTGTACCAGGCATTCTGTTTCATCCTCATGAAAGTTGGCCTGGTTATGCTGTTGTCCTCTCTGTTTTATAGTCAAGGGAACTTGGAAGAAGCTGCTTGAGATCATGGGACCAGGGGCTCGCATTCATAGTGATGAATGAATTATGATGGGTGTATTGCTGCAGGCAGGAGAGGAGCTGGCACAAAGACAGGCATGGCCAGCTGAAGGACAGTCAGGGTGAAGCCCAGGTCCTCGGTGGGACCCTGGAAACTTCCTTTCTTCCAGATCACGCCTGATGGATTTCCAGACTCACTGTCATCCTATGGACATCCTCGGGACTTGTGCAACTGAACAGTCCCGATGTCTGCGGTCATACATTGGGCTGATTGGTGAGACTGGGGCATGTGCATGGAATCAGTAGGGTGGTGGGCTCTGAGGTGTAAATGCACTGGAGACAGCACCCAGGATGGTGCTGAGGTCCTGAGACAGGTGGAAGAAGATGGAGGCTGCAGTGGAATTTGTCTAGACACTGACAACCCCTTCCTCTCTTTGCCCAACAGGAACTGCCATGACCCCAAACTTCATCAGCAGGGTCAATACTAGTGTTGCCCTAAGCTGCACCTGCAGGGGCAGTGGCAACCTGCAGGATGAGTGTGAACAGCTGGAAAGGTCCTTCTCCCAGAACCCCTGCCTCAGTGCGTACACTCCTTTTACACCCAGCCCATGTAGCTAGGCCACCTGTTGGAAGAGTCAGCCGTGTGGCCCACGCAGGTCCTGTCTATCTCTTTAGTCAAAGCATCCCTCTTCTGGGCTTACCCCTCCATCCTTCCAACATGAACCCTTCTTCCTTCTCCCACTCTGCCCACTCCGCCCACTCCCAGAGTGACCTCCATGCTGCCTGTTCAACTTGTCTAGGCCCCAAGAACTTGAACTAGCAAGCAGAATGAGTCAGAATTCCACTCCCACTACCTTCCTGCCCACTGTATCCCAGGGACCCATGACATCCCCTTCTTGCCTTGGGAATCTGAGAAACTTCCTGGCACCTTGCTCCAATCTACTTTTTCTCCTGACTTAGAGGAGGCCATTGCAGCTAAGATGCGTTTCCACAGACAACTCTTTTCCCAGGACCAGGTGGACTCTACCTTTTCTGTGAGGCAGCTGCAGGTAGGACTTCCTCTATCACATACCTCAAGATTTTACTGCACTAGTTGGAGAAAATACAAATCAATCAGACTAAGAGACAAGGTGGGAGAGATGCCATGAATAATATAGACCTCTAATTTGAATGTCACGGTAAGGGGACAGTCATGTGACAGGCTTCGGTGATGAAGGGACATGTCCTCTGGGCTGACTGTATTCCATTTCTTTCACAGAACTGTAGCCCTGCTCCGAGACCACAGCTCAGGCTACCTGTTCTTTCTCTCTTCATACTTACGTTGATTCTGCTTCAGACCCTCTGGTAGCTGGGCTTCCTCAGGGTCCTTCGTTCTTTCCACCACACCCAGACTGACTTGCAGCCTGTTGTGGGTGAGGAAATGACAGCCCCTGGAAGAAGATGCAGTGTGCAACACAGCAACCCTGGACCAAGCAAGCATCCTGACACATCCTGCCTGCTCCATCTGAGGGCTCCGGAGAAGCTAGGCTGTGACCTCAGATTCCGATCGGCTAGTGTTCGAACCTCCCTTACACCTTCTTCTGTCTCAGGCTGTCCCTCCTTAGAACTCTGTCACCCCAGTTTGGCCATATATTCTGGTGGTGATTTGCTTCACCCCTCCCATCCCTTCCTCCTGTTTCCCAGGGTCACCCAAAGCCTAACAAGTCAATCATTCCCTGTTGCATTCTTCAGGAAGGCAGGGCTGAGGGTTCTGAGTCAGCCGAGAAAGACGTTCCCTTATGAGGAAGGCTGCTTTTCCTGGCCCCTCGTCCCCTCTGAGTGGAAGGTGAGAACCTGCTGTCTTCACTGCTCTGCCATGTACTCCTGAACATTTGGGCATCAAGAGCTGGAGCCTTTGGGTCTTGCTTAACTTCTACTACTGTCCCCAAGTCCCCCAGCCCTTGGATCATGATTAAACATTTTGATCTAAAACTTTAATCTTTTCCCATTTTCTTAAATTGTAAGTTTATACAAGATTAGTGGTATGTGACTTCAGGCAAGTCTCTCAGCCTCCCTTGCCACAGAGTTGGAAGAAAAATAGTATAAATAAAAGATGGTATCCATCCCAACTCTAGGTGATCCTGGGATCCTGTCTAGGATCTACCACTGCTGCTGCTGAGGCCCTCAGTCACACAGCATTTGTTGAACCCTGGTGTTACTGATGTGTTCCAGATCACAAAAGGCCCAGAACACAGCAGAGGCTGTTCCTCGATCTCGGGGAATTTAATCCTACTGGAGTAAGGAAACATCTTCCCAATCTTCCCAAGCAGAGTCGTTGGAAGAATATATTTATAGAACTGTATTTGCTTATTTATTCATTCATTCTTTCTTTCAAAGGCTATCTAATCCATCCTGTCTCCATAAGACACTGGTGGATGGAGGAGGTTCCAAGGTAGTGATACTCAGATACTACTCTCAACCTTTTCTCCTACCAGAGTAGAGACGCAGAGAAGACAGTCGAGAAAAACAACAGTGTGATAAATGCAGCAACAAATCATAACAACCCTCATTTTTTGGCAATATAATTATACAATTATATACAATACAATTATAATATAATTGTGTGCCAATTACTATTTAATACATACTGTCTTCAAGAACTCACATTGATTCATTTAAGCCTCTGTTGTAGTTTAAAATTATTTTTTAGATTTGTTTTTTATTTTATGTTTGTGGGTGTTATGTACCATATGCACTCCTGAGGTCTACAGAGATCGGAAAGTATCACCCTGGGACAGGAGTTATCAGTCACCAGTTGATTCTCCTGCTTCAAACTC